CAAATGGAGCTGGAAATTTTCCTGGCATAGTGTTAATAATGGACTAGATCAAAATGGCTCAATTAAATTCTAGTACTTCTTCAAGTTTCTAGAAAAAAAAAATATATATATCAAACGGGTGCAATGCACCTTGGGTCGCTACGGAAACAACGGGTCCTTGTATAATTACAAGGGTAAGGTCTGCGTACAACTGACTCTCCAGACCCCAACATGTAGGAAATATACTGGGTATGTTGTTGTTATAATTTTTCTCAAACTCATTAACATGGATAAATAAAAATACTAAAATATATCTTATTTTTGGAAAAACTGATCAAAACATTTCAAATTATTTATAGTATTTTTTAAAAAACACCTACAATTTTATCTAAAATTTGTTGAAAAACACTTACAATTATATATACTATTTTTAAAAGACCTACATTTTATATGATATTTAAAAAAATATCTAAAAACATATCTAATATTCTAGGCTAATTTTCCATCATCATTTAGTATATATATAACACATCTAACATTGTTATAATTTGAAAAAGTAGAATGACATAAATATTTTTTTAAAATCAATCAAAATCCAATTATTATTAAAGTTGATAGATTAAAAGTTATAAATAAAAAATAATAGAGAATGCAACAATATACTATAATCTTTTTCCTTTTCCACAAAGATTAAAATAAAAAACCTGTATATTGCTGGTGCGACACGGGAACTAAGCATTGGCGTCGCTAGTGTAGTGAAGTATGGATCGTTTTCTTTATTTTTATTTTTTAAAAAGATTAAAATAAAAAACCTGTATATCGCTGGTGCGACACGGGAACTAAGCATTGGCGTCGCTAGTGTAGTGAAGTATGGATCGTTTTCTTTATTTTTATTTTTTAAAAAGATTAAAATAAAAAACCTGTATATTGCTGGTGCGACACGGGAACTAAGCATTGGCGTCGCTAGTGTAGTGAAGTATGGATCGTNCCCATGGGTAATATCGTGTGGGCCATTTCACCACCAAAGAACAGATATTACATATAAATTTCAAAAACGAATTTAAACATGAAAAACAAGGTAACCAGCTTGAAAAATCAACCAAAAAATCAAGTAAAAAGTGCACCTTTATCGTAGGCAACAACCAATAGATATTTCTCGGGGAGAAATGAACACCAAGGGTATGTTTGGTTCAATGAAGGGGAAGAGATTTTAATGGAAGGAAAAGGATGGGAGGGGAGGTGCTTGTTTGGAGGTATTATTTTGGAAGGTAAGGGAGGAAAAATGATGAAAGTTAAAAAAATTAAAGGAATAAGTGGCAGATGAGGAATAAGTAGCTAAATTATGAGTTTACCATCTGTGATTTCTTTTTTGAAATGTGGTGCCTGTTTTTAGTTCTTGTTGTTTTGAGACTTCTTATAGATGTATTCCAAGCTTAATTTACAGTTTTGCGTAGGGAGTTGTGCTTAAAAAAGAAAAATAAAGAAAGAGAAAATAAAATGAAATTACTTTAATGAAATAAAATAAAAAAATAAAAACAATTAAAAGTAGAGACAAAATGATCATTGTAGATCATATTAAAACACTTCCCTAGACATGCCCACGGGTCAACCGGCCCGTCTACCCGGACCACTAGCTCGGTTTTGTTGGGCTCGGGCCGCGGGTCTGTCCGGGCCGGGTCGGGCCCAACAGTCATAATCCAAAAAAGAAAAAAACAAACAAAATTCGGGCCATGCAATCGCCCGGCCCATAACAAT